CCCTCTCAAGTTCAAGCCATTCTCCTGCCTCAGCCTCCCAAGTAGCTGGGATTACAGGTGTGTGCCACAGCACCTGGCTAATTTTTGTATTTTTAGTAGAGATGAGGTTTCACCATGTTGACCAGGATTGTCTAGATCTCTTGACCTCGTGATCCACCTGCCTCGACCTCTCAAAGTGCTGGGATTACAGGTGTGAGCCACCACCCCTGGTCACCTGGAGATTTTTCTTTTTGGAAACTTTTAAATTGTAAATTCAAGTTCCTTCATGGTTTACAGGATTGACTAGTCTGATTTTGTTTAATTTTTTCTTAGTTGATTTTCGTTAGTGTGTGGCTTTCAAGGAAGGAAATGGTCTCTCTTCTTATAACAAGGAACCAATAATTCTCAAATCTTATAACCATGATTCTCAACCAGTTATGTGTCAAAATAATCAGTATAACTTAAAAAAAATACAGATAGCACGGTTATGCCTGAGACCTTCCAACTTAGAATGAGAGCATGGCAGGTGGCAGTATGGGGAGGATGTCTGTCTTCATCCAGGGCCTTGCAGGTGATTTTGGTATATCAACAAGATTAAGCTCTATTACTTTCAACCCCAATGTATTGTTCTATAATTAAAGTTTTCTTCCAACACTATCTCTATCTCTCTCTCTCTCTCTCTCTCTCTCCCCACACACACCAGAAAAAAAAAATCCTTTCTCTATAATAAACACACTAGATCAAGCTACACCATCTTATATCTGGGTATACATTTGCTGTTTAACTTTTCATTTCTCTAGAGTCGCTATTGGTAAATTTCACCTTGGCTTATATTGAAAAACATTATTTTAAAATCTGAAACATTAAAATTATCTATTGTACCTATTTGGGGGAATATTGAAAGTATATCTGTGATATTGTGCTGGCCTAGAGCCAGAACCAGAGCAAAACTATTTTATAAAATGCAAAACTGTTTTTAGATAAGTTGAAATGGCTGCCCCATTCTCCTTACAATAACTACTGTCCTTGGCCTCTGTAAATAGAACTGCTGTTTGTTCTTCAAAACTATGTAAAGCTGCTTACATTTTCTTATCAGTAACTGCCAGAATTGCTAGCCTTTGCTTACCTGCAATTGCCAGACTAAGCAGCCCAAGCTAGTTCCATCCTGGCTCCTGTGACTTGTAATAAGTAACTAAGGTCTGTGATTTCCACCTTAACCAGATAATGTGTAAACACATGTTTATCTTGACTTCTGTAAACCACTTAAGTAACAAACGGAATGACAAAAGTCCCCTAGCCCTTGGAATGTCCGGAGACCCCCACCCTCACCTCTGCCCAGGAGGTAATTTACAGAATCCACTAGCCCTCGGAATGTCTGAAGCCTTTTCATCCCCATCCCCGCCCCTCACCCCCACTCCCAAGGTGGTTTTTCGGGTATAAAAAATCGTGACACCCTCCTGTTGTCGCCACAGGTTGGAGAGACGTGAGTCCTCTGTGGTCGCCGGCATAATAAATGACCCTGCAAATCTGGCATACTTTTGTCTTGTGATAACTTTCTACACTCGGTCAAATACAACATATCAATAGAAAATTTTATCAGATTCCCAACTAAGTTGTATTTCTACTGACCTAGTTATTGGTTATGGTGATGAGTGTTCAATCACATCACAACTTTATTTTCTTTTCTCACTGGTCACTAAGAAGCTTATAGCCAGATTTTCAGTCTACCTGTAGAAAATGTGCAGGATCATAGCACTATGTGTCCCATTTTACTCTGTGACCATTCCTCCACAATGTATTTTCATTGCACTGTGGTAGGGACTGTCTGCCCCCTATATCTGTCCTTTGCTTCTGATTTACAATTCTTAGGTGGATACATGGCTGCCCAGAATGAAATCCATTTCCCAAAAAATTGTAGTAAGATCACGCTACTAGGTTCTGGCTAATATATAACCCCATGGGTCCTGTGATGACCTCCAGAAACTTTTCTTAAAGGACAACTGGCATGTACCTGTTGGCTAGCTTCTTTATCCCTTCATCTACCTTGCTACCAGGAAGATGCATACCACCATGGCGGATCCTGAAGAGTGAGGACTGTAAAGAGCTGCCCAGGACACTGAGTTGGTTAAATCTTGATTCCATAAATGTTCAGCATATATATATGTGTGTATGTATATGTGGGTGTGCATATGTGCTAAACCACATGCATGTCATTTAAGTGATACTTCAAATCACTTACACAATAAGATGTGATACTAAATAAAATCTTGTAACTGCTTCAAATATTTGCATAGAACTTCAGGAAATAAACTAAGTAGGTTTGTTATCGCTTGCAGAAAGCAGCCTATAGTAATTGTGCTACTGGGCTTTGTACCAACCATCAGATCTTTAATGGGAACATTTATCATGTAAACTATTACACTGAAAATTTTAATTTATCTGAAACAAGTTATAGCTTAATATGAATTGAAATCTGAACTGTATACTCTAGCAAGATTATACAGTATAATTTCTACAACATTAAAATGTTCTATGTATCACAAGAAAATGGATTTCTATATCAGTACTTTGTTGTAATATGCATGCAGTCTAAATTACTAAGGCATTTAAAAAACAGTAGTGTGTATTTATATGCACACTCTAAGTCACTGAAGACATTTAAAAAGTAGCTAATGTATGCACATATTTAAATGAACTTTCTTTGGAAGGCAATAAAGATGCCAAAATTAAAGTCCCCTCACAAATAGCCGCTT